TAGTGTCTTGGGCAACTCCTATCTGAATGGAGGGCCTTACGTACTTATCGGGGACTCCATCTGTTCGCCGCTTCGGCCACACTGAATCGCCCGGGGGTCCTGCACATTGGGTCTTGTTGTTTGAATTTAGGGCCCTACAATTCTGTCTGGGCCGCTTGATAATCTGTTCGGGTATACTCCATCTTTCGGGGCCCTCCCCACTGGGTTTTGGGTGTTTTTTATTTAAATGGAGGGTCCTACATTCTTTTTGGGCACCTTCTGATAAGCTGCTCGGGCACACCCTATCGTTCTGGGGCCATTCACCAAGTTATATGGTGCTTCCCATTCGAATGGAGAGCATTGCGCTCTTGCTGGGGGCCCTATTTGTTAACCTGCTTGGACACACTCGGTCATTTGGGGGCGCTCTTCATTGGGTTTTGGGTACTTCCTATTTGAATGAAGTGCCCTACGTTCTTGACGGGGGCCCTATATGTTAACCTGCTCCGACGCACTGGATTATTCGGGGGTCCTCTGCGTAAGGTCTTGAATACTTCCTATTTGAACGGAGGGACCTACACTCTTTTTGGGAACCTTGTATGTTAACCTGCTCGGGCACACTCGATCATTCGGGGGCTCTCTACATTGGGTCTTGGGTATTTCCTATTTGAATGGAGAGCTGTACGCTCTTGATGGATACAATGCGTAGGGCTCTGAACGATCGAGGCGCCCGAGCAGGTTAGCATATAGGGGCTCCATCCCTGTGCTCCAAATCTGACGGGAGCCACTTTGTTGGCCTCCTGCAGCATTCATGGTCGCTCAGGTTTCGTTCCTATTGGCCTTAGTGCCTTCGCCTCAGAGCAGCGGTCGAATGTGCGCTGATGAATTTTCACGCGCCATTGCCGAACGCAATTTGACATGCCGCCGACGTCACATGTGTCATTTGCATTACCTATCGAGTGTGTGACACTTGTTAGACTAGTGCATCACGTTCCTAACATATTTCGAATGCTAGGATATGTTGTACTCCTATAAAACAGAGGAAAATTTATGCATTAGTCATCAGCCATCAACTGACTACATCGCCCAGCCGGCTAGCCGCAAGAACATAAGGTGAGAATCAAGTCCATGCTTGGTTTCGATGGTTGTTAGCTGCTACCTCAAATTTATTTCGCCTGTTGTTCCGAAGCACTTAGCCTCAAAATCACAGCATTTAACATGATCTGTAGAAAGCGAGTCAGTCCTATGTGTGTGCATGCGTAGCACGCCTAGCTTAATGAGGCCGTGCACAGTAAGATGGGTTCCGTATTTATAAAATAAATGAATAAGCAAATGCATGGATATATATATATATATATATATATATATATATATATATATATATATATGTATATATTCATTTACATTTATTTATTTGTATTAACATTGCATATCACTTGTCTTAAAATGCAATGACCAAAATGCAAGGATATCTTTTGGAGAGGGGGGGGAGCAAACTCCAGGGGGCCCCACAATGTTGCATGCTTCACTCCTTGACGAAATGCTGGATCCGCCCCCGGTTGCAACTCCCTCTTGCGTACTGAAAAGTGAAATATGCTCACCATGGTGTGTTTAACATGTATGTGTGCATAACTTACCATTATATGCTTTTGTAGTTATTTAGTGTATACATTTTCATACATCTCATACATTCATGTATTCACAAGAATGGTGCCCCCAATATGTAAGGAATTGCATCCCGTTTACATGAAGCTTCTCGACATGCTGAACTTCCACTGGTGGAGCATATGCACTTAAGCTGCTGTAAAAGAAAACGTAAGCACTCATCTATGCATTATTGAAGAAAATGGCTTACAACCTTTCCCCAAAACGCTTAGCTCTTTTTTACTTACGCTCAAACTCTTTTTTAGCTCTTTTAGCTTAAACCGCTCTTCGTTTAATACCCTGAGTGTTAATGACTTAACCGTGGCTGTTAACTGTGACTTGCCGTTAAAAAACACACAACTGAAAAATCGAGAGGGATTGACAGGTAGTATCGCATTTAATGCTAATATTCATTTCGATAAAGGCATGTGGCCGAAATGCCAATGCATCTATCTGACCTTCCTCCCGGTTACTCTTCGAGGCATAAGGCTAACAGAACTGAGTTATCGAATCTGGATTAAATCACACTTTCAGGTTGTGAGGGTTTCAGGATTCATGCGCATCCTGATTACAGGATTCAGGATTCATGCGCACGGCAGGTAATGGCATCATATTAAAGTGCGCAATCTTAGGCACCTAAATCAAACTGATTTTGTAGGCAGGGCATCGATCCCTTTGTTATGCTGATAAGGAACTGGCCCATGGTAAATCAAAATGGCTTTCATGATATGATATCAATCCATTCAATGGAAATTCACGCGCACCACACGCAGTACAACAATGGTATAATAACCATCCATGTCGCCGCTCTATGAATACCGCATGTATTTTCCACACGACTGTTACAATAAACTCATGCTCATCGTTGTGTTTACAGCGCATTTTGATGTGTCCAGTACATAGGTACAGGAACAGGCAGGGGCGGATCTAGCCTGGAGTTGTTTTTTTTGGAGGGGGGGGGGGGGGGAGGGTAACCGTTCGTCGCCAGCTGGCTGGTGTGGGATCCGAGGTCCAGTGCATGGTGCCTCTCGCGAGTACCTAGTAGGTACACCGTTCAAAACCGAAAAAGCACCGAAATGCTTTTGAATCTTAAACAGAAGTAATAACGAAACATTTCAAACAGTTAAAGTTAAAACAGACGGTAAGTAGACAAAACTTTTATGAAGTTCTGGGAATGTTTTTTTAGGGGGCCAAAACATAATCTCAGAGATTTTGGGGGCCATGGCCCTGTCCCCCCCTCCCCCAGGATCCGCCTATGGGAACAGGGGGCCAAGGGGCTATGCCCCCCCCCCCCCCCCCACCTCTTCCACACACTTCTCAACGTGTGGGAAGCAACGTCAACTGCCTCCCCCTTTCAGATTTAAGTTGCGTTAGCTTACTTTTACACTACCTTAAACGCACATGCCAATTTACCTCGTTCATCAACCATCTTCCTCAACGCGCTGGCAACAATTGCGTCATGTCACAAATGACAGTATTATGTCATCATGACGTCACAAATGGCAGCATACTGTCTTGTACGGTGAACGGAGATGTTCGGGGAAACCCCGAGGTTCCTCTAGTACCAAAAGGCTACATTTTTCCCTGGTTCTATACCCTTGGTTCCCCTGCATGGCTGCTTGCTGTCCTCCCTGAATATGCTCATGGAACGCAAGATTTGACGCATCCATCTGAGAGCCTCTTGACCGACCACAGACCTTCGTGTAGCCAGAATGGCAACCGGAATGAACCTCAAAGTCAAAAAGTCAAAAATGAGAAGACGCTAACTCATGTTCGCCTGAGAACATTCATTCTTTTTCAGAATCGACTAGTGAAACAAACAACATCAAACAGCTTTAGACCCCACACGCTCACAATCTCAGGAACCAGAACGATGGCCGGGGTTCCAGTTTTCGTGAAACCGACCAGCGTTGGCAATTGCAGGTGACACCAGACGGTGGGCACCGTGAGCGCGAGAACGCCTGCCGTGAATAAAGAATGCTTCCGAATGTCTCAAAATGAATTAAACCATTCAAAGATTAGCCTGGGGAGTACATTTAACGATGTTCGGGGTGTCGTGTAGTCAAATTATCAGTTACAGCAACACGAAACTGAGAGCTTGTATCTTTAATATTCCAGTTCATCCACCAGATTCCAGCACCACTTCGCGGCGCTGTTCAGGTTAATCTGTCCGTATAATCAGTCTAGGCATAGCACAGGTCAAATAGACGTCCGCAGCCTCTTTCTGAGCGCACAAATTGATGCCCTAAGGCGTCCAAAAGCACTTTGTTTCAGATGCGTCATCTTTTCCGTCCGCTTATTAATCACCGCTGTGCCTTGAAACGGCGTACCTCATGCCTAGCACCGGCGTATCTCGTGCCTAGCACCGGCGCATCTCACGCTGAGCACCGGTATATCTCATGCTGAGCACTAGCGTATCCCGCGCCTAGCACCGGCGTATCTCATGCCTAGCACGGGCGTACCTCATGCCTGGCACCGGCGCACCTCATGCCTAGTATCGGCGTATTTCACGCCTAGCACCGGCGTATCACATGCCTAACACCGGCGTATCTCATGCCTAGTAAGGGCGTACCCCATGTCTAGAACGGGCGTATCACATGCCTAGCACCGGCGTATCACATGCCTAGCACCGGCGTATCACATGCCTAGCGCCGGCGTATCTCATGCCTAGTAAGGGCGTACCTCATGTCCAGCACCGGCGTATCTCATGTGCTGAGCACCGGCGTATCTCATGTGCTGAGCACCGGCGTATCTCATGTGCTGAGCACCGGCGTATCTCATGTGCTGAGCACAGGCGTATCTCATGTGCTGAGCACAGGCGTATCTCACGCTGAGCACCGTTGTATCTCACGCTGAGCACAGGCGTATCTCATGTGCTGAGCACAGGCGTATCTCAAGTTGAGCACCGGCTTATCTCATGCCGAGCACCGGCGTATCTCACGCTTAGCACCTCTCCCCTAATGGCCAAAGGGGGCTTATGGGCTTAGACGAGGCGGTCCGCCATCGGAAAGATCCTGAATGTTCATACTATGATGCGCAATGCAGCATGTTGTATCGCATTCAAGAAGCGCTCGACTGGCTCGCACGCACCGTCGTTAATAGAGGAAGCGGAGCCGAGCTTGGACCTGATCACGGAATGATTAAACGTGGCTGCGAAAATCTCAAGTACACAAGCGGGCGGAGGTTGGACCATATCGTCGTGCTGGGCGCAGTGCACTCCATATCCCGCAGGGACAGACCCAGATAACAAACAGCAGGCCCGCAGGCCCGATAACAGCAGGCCCGGATGAAGCAATCTTATCCAGCAGTGGCAGACGTGGATGCTGCACTCTACCCATCCAGCAGTAGCAGACCCCGGAGGCGCATTATTCAACTCCGGCATCCGTATACCAGCGCTGTATTACACAAACTAATTAGGAAGTTCACTGGCATTCCCATCCATACATTGCGGCTCTTAGCCTTCCCAGAACCGGATCGTTTGAAGAGGTAACTCTTGGTACTACAAGTGGCATAATTTCACGTGGCGTATCGCTCGGCATGCGAGCTCCCCACAGTCGGCATCGTATGGATGGCGTGCATGACCCTAGATCTAGGATACGAGTCACACAGTTAAGCTTTTGCGTGTTCATTTCCCGTTACATGCCATATTACGCGCCGGCAACGACACCCAATGGCGACGTACCTTGTGTTAGTGATAGAGAGAGCAACAACCCTTAGTCGCCGTTGTCGCCGGGGCTTTACGATGCGCTCGCCAGTCTCTTATCCCCACAGTAAGCCCGGGCAGTGCAGAGAATCGAGCCCGTAGCTCTGGTCTCTAAGGCAAGCAGTTAACCCACTGCAACCCTAGAAGGCCCTCAGTAGCTTCCGTCCTGTGACACAGATCTTGCCCCGACGCCTTCTGTTCGCTGGCCGCTCAACTGCATCCGCCACAGCTCTCCGGAGAGCTACTGACGCACGTGAGCCGGTGCCACTGGTGCCGTCAGACCGAGGCAGCCGCCAGCCGTAGGGACGTCACGGGCGCCGAGTGACGCCACCCAGCACACGCTCGTGAAGGTCCACAACCTGGCTTAAAGCTTCGCGGAACCAGCTGGGTGATTTATCACAGATTACAAGAGCAATAGGAGACAGCCTGCAAGCATTCCACTCGTCCAAGCCGCTCCGCGTCTCAGTGGAGACGTGTGACATCGCGCCATGTCAGCAGTTCGCAGCCCGCCGAAGGACGTGAAGGTGGTCACCGTGCCATTTCAGCGCACCACCCCGCTTCTGGGTCCAAAACGTCGGATCTCCGAACACCTTACACCGAACGACCGCCGGCTCCTCGCACGGCTCCAACTTCCCATATGACATGCATCAGACGCTGCACTCCAGCGGGAAGAAAAGCGTCATCAGGCGCCGTCCTCCAGCGGGAAGAAGACTGGCATCAGACGTTGGTACGCCTTCACATCTTGTTCGAGAAAAAGACAGAACACGACGCGGTCCAGCTCGTCGGCGTGCTGCTCCAGCTCGGTGCGTACCGTGGCCAGCGCCACGCGCGCCGCCGCCTCGTTCGGGTAGCCGAACACGCCGGTCGACACGCATGGAAACGCTAGCGAACGGAGGCCGTGGCGGCGCGCCAGCTCCAGGCACCCGGCGTAGCAGCGTCGCAGGAGGTCTGGCTTCTCGCCCACCGGCCCGACAGTGTGCAGCACGTGGCGCGCCGGCAGCCGGTAGCCCTGTGTGAGCTTCACCTCGCCGGTGTCGCAGCCGCGCAGCGCGGCACACTCTGCACGCAGCTGCGGCCCAGCCGCCGCGTGGATGGCGCCGTCCACGCCGCCGCCGCCCAGCAGCGAGCGGTTGGCCGCGTTCACCACGGCGTCCAGCTCCAGCCGCGTGATGTCGCCACGCCAGAGCGACACTTTGTCCGCCAGCTTGTTACTGGGCGATACCGCGGCCGCCTCGGACGGAGCGCCGGCGACCTTCTCGCGGCTGTGCTGCAGCCAGGTGGGGATGCTGGAGAGTGTGACGTAATTGTTGCCACAGCGGTAGTTGCGCCGTCGCTCAGCCAGCAGCGACTGCCGTACAGCCTTGAAATCTGTACCAGATGATTCAAACGTGCTCATGGCTCGGTGAAAGACTGTCCAATAAAACAGGGAGCCTGCAGGCAGACAGGGTCAGGAGCATTGGTAATAAAGGTATCAAGATACCGATCATACAGGACCATGCCCGCAAAGGCCACCTTTATTGGGCATACTGATCACATGGAATCATACAGGGACTACAAGTTGAATAAAGGCTTTGGTATTTTTATTCTGCTCACTCTTTACAAAGAAAGCTTATGTCCACATTACATACTTGACCAGCCTTACTGGCGGAGGCAGACACAAGTGTGCGATTCAAATAACATACAGCAAGCAACACATTCAATGATGTCTGAATTATAGGAACATCTAGATAGTCAAAGCTCTGGCATATTAAAAGGAAACATCCAACAGAAAGATTGAGCACTACTCTGTACTGGATTCTACAAACATGTACTTGAAAACAGGGCACAACTACATTAAACAAAAATAGAAACTAAGAAATAGGTTGAACCTGATTTAGCATCACTCCTGGCAAGAAAGTACTGTAAAACACCAAGCAAATATCACACTAGTGGTTTCATTCATCACAAAAGAGCTGCTGTAAAATATGATACAAATTTTGCACTAATAGCTACACAATAACAACTGAATAAACTGTAGCACATAGAATACGACCAAACATATCACGCTTGACCCATTTTTGTTAGATGACCTAGGCTTATGCCGTTCAATTCTTTGAAAGCATCTTTGGCTTCTAACATTAACTTAGTGAATATTTTAGCTTTTTTAACCTTTATAGCTTATCACTCAACTAATCAATGAAAAAGAAGAAATTCCTGCATCTGTAAACAAATACCCCAGAACACATCATGTCACTTTCCATGACACAGCTTTCTCTAAGGAGAAACTACAGCGTGTGCTGTTGTCATCCAAGCTCCTGCATGTTAGGCGAGTCTGCTAAAAGTAGAAGGGTTTTCATGAAGCAACACCTGAATCGGCACAACAGGATTAATATGGCCTGCAAATACGCAGTAACTTTCGGGTATGAGTACCTGGTTTTGAGGTATCTATAAAGTTTAACAAGTACTTACCACGAATGCCGTACTTCGATATCATCTCACGCAATGCCGAAGGATTCAAGGACTTGTTGGACTTGGCCGCGGCTGATCCTCCGCGCCGCCTACCAACAGGTGGCGGCCGGCCGGCGGCCGCCCGCCCGGCGATACGACAGCAAGGTGCATCCGAGCAAGCGGGGGCGGCTGGCGGCCGGCTGGTCGATCATTGACAAGTTCAACAACGGACCTCCCGGCAAATCAGATCACCCAAAATCTTACAAACGTAGCACGCGTGCATGTGTATGTGAAAATGGCTGAGTGTAACGACCGTCGCACCGTTTTCAGGTTCATTCTCGTGCATTAGGAGGTGCCACTTCGACTGGATTAGGAGGCGCCCCTTCGACTGGATTGGGAGGCGCCACTCCAAGCCCAGCAAGTGACCTTCCTGCAGGTGATGTACCAGTACGGCCAAAACGACACAAACATGGCACGTGTGCACACATATGACGCATGGAGACACTTGTCTACCATTCTATCGTTCTGGGATTTAAGATGCTATTGTATACGCCGTGTGGGCGGCTGGCGGCCGGTCTGTCGAAATTGCGAAGTCCAGCAACGGACCTCTCGGCAAATAAGGTGCAACACCGCCCAATCTGGTGCAAGCGTAGCACATGTACGTGCGTGGTTAAATAGTAGAGCTGTAACGAATGTCTCATCGCTTTTGGATCCATTCTCACGCATTAGGAGGCGCCACTGTGGCTGAATTGCTCCAAGTTCATTGAAGGACCTCCCTGCTTGATGGAAGCAAGACCCGCCAAAACGGGACAAACGTGGCACGTGTGCACGCATTTCTCGCATGGGGCAGGTATCGGCCATCTGATGTCAGGTGACTGGCATTAATAAGCTTCTATTTTAAAACTGCTCTGAGTGGCGGGCGTCGGCCCGGTCGAAAATTGTGTCCAGACCAACAACGGAGCTCCCCACACGTTGGACGAAGGACCACCCAAACTGGTACAAACGTAGCAAGTGCGCACGCAGACGCCCAAATGCCAAGATGTGACGACCGTGTCATCGCTTTCGGGTCCATCCTCACCCATAATGAGTTGCAACATCAGCTGAATTGCGCAAGTCCACTAAGAGACCTTCCTGCAGGCTAGATGCAAAACCGGCCAAGCCGGTGCAAACGACGTACGTGTGCACATGTGTCAGTTATGGAGATATGTTTGGACCATTATACTGCTTTCTAAATGGAGACATGTTTCCATTCTAAAAGTGCTCTGGGTGACAGTCAGCCGGACGGTCGAGGGTCGCCACGTATCCAGTAATGCATCTCCCTGTAGGTCAGATGCAAGACCGCCGAAACCCACAATAGGAAGGCTCCTGTCCCATCTCGCCTGCAGGGAGGTCACTTTTTGGACTTCGAACAATCCAGTCGAAGTGACGCCTCCTAATGCGTGAGAATGGACCCAAAAGCGATGAGACGGTCGTTACAGCTCGGCCATTTTAATACACATGCACACATGTTATGTTCGTAAAAGTTTGGGTGGTCTAATTTTCCGAAAAGTTTACTGCTGGACTTAGCAATTATCGACCAGCCGGCCGCCAGCCGCGTCCGCTCCCGCTCAGGTGCACCTTGCCGCCGCATCACCTGTGGTGGTGGGCGGTGGGAATGAGGTCCTTAAAGATACCTGGCCCGAAAATTAGGCAGGGGATCGTTGGGTATCAAAAATTGAGACGTACCTTGTATGGTCACTGATCTACGGCAGGTCAAAGTCAGCCCATTGATCTATCGGAAACGATTTCTGGGAAATCGCTAAATATGATTGTGCGAGTACCGGGTATAGCGCGCGAGTAGTAGTATCTAGACCGAACGGTAGATGGCAGAGTGTCTCGCGGGGTACAGAAATACAGTCTCGTTCCGACCGCCGACTGGTGTGGGCATTCGCGGAGACAGACTCGAACAATGATGTAAAAGCGGAGTCCTAGACGAATGTCTACATCTGTGATAGTTTCCTAGGCCACGTAAGAGTTGAATCAACAAATTCAGTTGACCTAGGGTCATGTGTGATGGTCAAGCCTAGGCCAAAGCCAGCCAGGCTTATCACGCGAGTGCTTGCTGTATGGGGTAGTTTATGGTGCTCCTTTTTTATAAATTTGACCCGATCCCTATGAATGGATGGATTTCTGGGATCAGCGCTCACGCTTAACAGTGCTTGTTGTGTGAGCCCTGACCCACCCCCACCATCCGATCGCGCAATTCCAGGCAACGGCAGAATTAAGTGGCGAAAGCTTAATGTAATGAGACGCCAAATGTTTCACCACATCTTCTCTGTATTGTAGTCTCGCACCGCCAGGGGCTGCAGCCCCTGACGGTGCATCTGCACTCGCTGTTCTCCCAACGGTGACTCCCCGACAGCGGGGGCCGCGAGCCGAGGCCGTGCGAACGAGCCGGGGCCGCGAGCCGGGACCGTGAGAACTGTGGCGGCGGCGCGCCTCTGCCGCGCGGCCGGGGCCGGCCTGCGAACCTGACTACGTGCCGCGCCCCGCCCCAGCAGGGGCGTAGGACACAAAGAACAACTGCACTACGAGCACCCTACCCTGATCCTAATGATCAAAAAGTACACAATGGCACGGGCCTTCGTTCTCGTCCGCTCCGACGCGGCAACACTCGCTCGTCACCGTCGCCTGTCACACCGGCACCATCATCAGCAGCCACACCGCCTTCTCAGCCACGCAGCGGCTGGCTGTGGCCGGCCGCTGCTCCGCCGGCCTCGGGAAGCTAACCCGTCGCTACATCGGCCGCGGGAGACCACTCCAGCGCCCCACCGGCCGCGGGAGACCGACCCGTCGCTCCACCGTCTGCGGGAGGCTGCTCCACCGCTCCACCGGTCGCGGGAGACTGCTCCACTGCTCCACCGGCTGCGGGAGGCTGCTCCACCGCCCTACCGGTCGCGGGAGGCTGCTCCACCGCTCCACCGGTCGCAGGAGGCTGCTCCACCGCTCCACCGCTCCAGCTGGCGGCGCTCCGCTTCATCCTTCAGCTCCTGAGCTTCGAGAGCTGGCTTTTCCTCCGCCTGTTGCCGCGCCAGCTCCGCCTCTGCCTCCGCCTGTTACCACGCCGGCTCCGCCTGTTGCCGCGCCTGCTCCGCCTGTTGCCGCGCTAGCTCCGCCTGTTGCCGCGCCAGCTCCGCCTCTGACTCCACCTTCTCAAGCCAGTCCATTTTTCCGAAATAGCTTGTAATGAGACGCCAAGTGTTTCATCACATCTTCTCTGTATTTTAGTCTCGCACCGTCAGGGGCTGCAGCCCTGACGGTGCATCTGCACTCGCTGCTCTCCGAACGGCGACTCCCCACAGCGGGGGCCGCGAGCCGGGGCCGTGCGAACTGTGGCGGCGGCGCGCCTCTGCCGCGCAGCCGGGGCAGGCCTGCGAACCTGACCACGTGCCGCGCCCCGCCCCAGCAGAGGCGCAGGACACAAAGAACAACTGCACTACGAACACGGTGCACCGTCAGGGGCTGCGGCCCCTGACGGTGCGAGACTAAAATACAGAGAAGATGTGGTGAAACACTTGGCGTCTCATTACAAGCTATTTCGGCAAAATTGACTGACTTGAGAAAGTGGAGACAGCTACACGTGCGAGGGTACCGGACAAGTGACTGTAAGCACAGTGTCGGGTGCGGCCCGAATAGAGGTGCTTGTGACTGTCAGTGGGCCGCTGAACTTCGGGTTCATTCTGGGAATGAACGGCGCGAGGGCGCTTCGGGGCGTGTCCGTCAGTGCGTCGAATGCAGTGCAGTTCGGGGTCGATGCGCTGCCGGCTGGGTAGGCGTCTCCGGTACTGGCAGCGGCATGTGATGCGAGCGCAGTCGCTGCCATGTCACCCGAGCCGGCCGGCCATGGCTGGAGGTAGAGGCGGAGCTGGCGCGGCAACAGGCGGAGGCAGAGGCGGAGCTGGCGCGGCAACAGGCGGAGCTGGCGCGGTAACAGGCGGAGGCAAAGGCAACTCTCGAAGCTCAGGAGCTGAAGGATGAAGCGGAGCGCCGCCAGGTGGAGCGGTGGAGCGGTGGACCAGCCTCCCGCGGCCGGTGGAGCGGTGGAGCAGCCACCCGCGACCGGTGGAGCGCTGGAGCAGCCTCCCGCGACCGGTGGGGCGGTGGAGCGGTCTCCCGCGGCCGATGTAGCGACGGGTTGACCTCCCGAGGCCGGTGGGGCAGCGAGTGTAGCCGCGTCAGAGCGGACGAGAGCGAAGGCCCGTGCGATTGTGTACTTGTTGATCATTAGGATCAGGGTGGGGTGTTCGTAGTGCAGTTGTTCTTTGTGTCCTGCGCCTCTGCTGGGGCGGGGCGCGGCATGTGGTCAGGTTCGCAGCCCGGCCCCGGCTGCGCGGCAGAGGCGCGCCGCCGCCACAGTTCGCACAGCCTCGGCTCGCGGCCCCCGCTGTGGGGAGTCGCCGTTCGGAGAGCAGCGAGTGCAGATGCACCGTCAGGGGCTGCAGCCCCTGACGGTGCGAGACTAAAATACAGAGAAGATGTGGTGAAACACTTGGCGTCTCATTACACTTAACGTGCCGCAATGCTCGGCACGGTCCGTCCCGCCCTCTGACGTCAACTGACCGTTAGCGCGACCGCTGCCACAGGCTGCGGGCCATACCTGCCAAGGGCAAACAGCGAGCGCCCTAAAGCGACTAGAACCCATCCTGCCACGTGTGGGTGGATCTGAAGGCACGCTCTCTAACGAACTGAGCCGTTTTTGAATTTATCGATCACAGGAACCGCATTATATGTCTTGCATGAAGTTCATTAAGATCAGAATAGGTCACTGACCCTAAATGAACGAGATCAACATCTTTTCTTAGGAAGATGCTGCCTAGTGGTATCCTTCACGCTTATTCGAATACAAAAATCAAACATTTTTGTATGATTCTGGTCATCACGACCTTCGAAAGGTCAAACAGGGTCGCTGACCCTAAATAACCGCCAGTGACCTGTTGCTTAAAGCATGATATCTGGGAGATGTTAAGATTTGGAGACGTCTGGGCACATCACGCTCTATAGA